TCACTCATGTCACAACTCAGCCGTCATAATCATTTTAACAATATCCCTATTCCTTGAGTGACTCTTGGGACCAGTAAAGAGTGAAATTTTGGATTAAAAATGTTTGACACAAGGTCGAGGCACCGAGTGATTCTTGAACTCAGTACTAGCAGTTAACTAAATCAGTTCGTTGACCATTATCTCTGCTCTGAGTATTAGTCCATGGTATTATTTCCAAGCACTTTTCAAATGTACCGCATGCTGTGAGCACCTCCTACAGACCGATAAAATCAAGAAGTCACCTTCCTGAGAAATCGACCATGGTGAGATCCGAACCCGGGTTTCATGCTCAGAATACGAACGTTCTAACTACTCGGCCCAACAACTCTGTACTTGTAGCACAACGATAAAACCCATTACCCCGTATGTATTATCAATCAGACAAGCTCACTAATCATTGCCTTACGGAAAGGGTCTAGTCGTCCATCTCACCTATCAATATCAACGAAAACATTGACTACAAAATTTCAAAGTAAAAAGTTCTTCAAATAGAGTAAATCAACGTCTAGTCAGGATCAGATTCTTTCAGGCTGTACTTCTTTTTAAGAAGAATACAAGGAAGCAAACCTAGATTTTGCCTGTATGCAAGAGGTACGTGTGGATATAATTTATTTTAGACTGGCCAGAAGGAGAAATGACAGCATGGAATTGAATTTGCAATGAACAAATCAACAGATATTGTAATACACAGTAAGGTACACAACAAAAAAAAAAAAACATTATTGTTCATGAGTGTAAGAACCGAGTGATATCAGCTTATGACACAACTTAAAAAAGCGCTGCCTCAGCAAAAAAAAAAGAAAAGAAAGAAATTTTTATACAAGCTAAATTGTATTTACGACAAGGAAAATAGACAACTAGACATTAATGAGAATTTTAATGCTACCTCAAGCATTTTTAAACGCCATTATTTCTTTGATGGTATGAAGTCATCACTCTTTGATAGAGAAACAACAATGAAAAATTCTTCCTAAACATGTGTTGCTCAAAAACAAACTCCATCCTTAGCAGGTGATTTGGTCATCCGATAAAACACCGTATCACGTAACATAGCCCACATAATGTAACAAAAAGATCATTGACTTCAGTAACTCAGACTCTTGGATGAGTCACTTTTGACAGTTGTTATAGCATACTACTACTTTGAATCAGATCAACAACTACTTTTTTTACGCACCGTGTCTCTTTAGAACATAGGCGAAGATGGCTCTCCACATCTTCCTGTCCTCTGTAGCTCTTTATAAGTTTTTTTTTTTATTTCTCCTAAACTCTGTTTTACCGTTCATCTAAACTTACCAAGTATGTTAGTAGCTGTTTTCCTCTGTCCCTCTTTCCATCAATCTGTCCTTTGAGTATCATGTTTTCCAAGCTTTCCCTCCTCAATACATGCCCCCAAAGATTTAAACTGTCTCTTCCTGATGTTACGTATAAGTTTCCTTTTTATTTTTTTCTAAAATCTTGTCGTTGTCCATATGTTCGGTCCATGATATCCTCAGCATCCTTCTGTAGAACCACATATCTGTTGCCTCAAGTTTTTTCTTCATTTTTGCGGAGATCATCCAGCATTGGCTGCCATACAGTATGACAGAATATTAAATAACATTTAAGTACTCTTTTATTTGTCTCTAACGATTTTTTCTGTTTTTTAAGACTATGTTTTGGAAGGGACTTTTGACCTTCGTATCTCAGTGTCACAATTTCCATCTTCTGTTAGAACTCTTCCCAGATATTTAAAGTATTGTACTTGTTTGATTTTAGTAACCCCGATTTGTAATTCTCATTTTGGGATCATCCTTTTTTGCTGATAACCATTCATTCTGTCTTCTTGTAGTCCTTCATTCTTGCTTTAATCCTAAACCTTCTGGAGGAGTTTTTTTTTTTTTAGTTTCCTTTCCGTGTCTGCAATCAACACTGTGTCATCTGCATATCATATGTTAAGATTCTAATAATGAATCCTTGTAGAACTTCTAATTCACTCAGAATTGCCTCGCTGTATAGCTTGAATAAGACGAGAAGACATATTAATTGTAACGAGAAGACATATTAACTGTAACGATAATTGTGCTTGATAATTCCTAGTTAGCAAGCATTGGTCCTGTGCAGCAAGTATAAAACCTCCAGTTTCAGCTTTCAACCCTGCACTACGTAGCCACTAATGAGTACGGGTTTTGTCTACGTCAGCTTGTTTAGTACGGACAGAGTATTGGCCATGAAGCGGTTTATCTTGTCATCGCTTCTGTATCTGGTGGGTTGCATTTGTCTTTGCTGCCTTTTTTAAGTATTTTGCAGTTTCAGCCGGTGTATTGTGCTGTACTTGCATTTCTACGCCCATTTGAAACTTCATTTTGAATTATTATCATTATTATTATTATTATTATTATTATTATTATTATTATATTAAATCCAGCTGCTAAGAAGGTTGGTTCACTGTGTCGTGCGAGACAATTTTTCTCTCCAGAATCTATCTTACATATCTATAAGTCTACTATACGTCCATACTTAAAATATGGCTGTCACATATGGTCCAGTACTCTTGTTATTTATCTAAAATTCCTGATAAAATCTAAAGAAGATTCAGCAATATTATGGGTCCGGATCTGGCACCTCGTCTTCAGTCGCTTTCCCACAACTATAAGTTTACTTCCTTGTATCTTATTTTTTATAAATATTTCATGAGAATTGTTTGGGTGATCTCTTCGCTATTGGAACTAGATTATTTTTTTAAAAAATTAAGCGAGGTACTAGTCTGGCGTCGAGATCTCATCAATTTACAGGTGAATTGGCTAGATGCCACCCTAAATTCTATACTAACCGTTTCTTTTCTCGCACTTCTCGCTTGTGGAACTCTCTTTCAGTTCCAGCCAATTTTAATCTCCAAAAATTTTAATACAATGTCAATCGCTATCTACTATCCTGATTACTAATTTCTCTAAATTCTTCCGCTCTTTGTGTTTTGGTGTCTCTACTAGCTTGCTTGGGGAGGAATCGATTTAAAGAAAAGTCTGGAATCAGAAATACACCACCAATAAGTGGCATTTATCACGCATTAATGGATTACGGAAACAGAAAGGTAACCCTCAAGACCCCCACTCATAGGTTTATATGATCTCAATTGGATCCATCATGGTAAAAAAAAGTATTAATGAACATTATATTAACTAGTCTCTTATCGTTTTATGAAAATCAACTCCTCACAACCCAGTTAGGGCTTTCGTTTTGGTAAGGAATGGAATGATTACATATATATCATCAAACAACTGGGTACCTCGAGGCGGTGTAATGGCTAGCAAGCTTGTCTTGTTAGAACAATTATGACTGAGTAGTGAGTTCGATCTTCACTAGGTACCTCTTACTTTCGGTCTAGTGCCACATGTAAGCTAGGCTTGGAAAATCACTATATCATCAAACAACTCCAAGAAAATGCTTCCCTCTCTAGCAGAAAACTGTATACCTGTAATTTCGACCTCACAGCATGACAGAATCAATATAGACTTTTTCTAATCATTCATTAGAAACCGCCTTCCAACCTCCGAATCCACTGAATGCATCGATCTAATAAAGGAACTGTATCGATCTACAGAAAATTACATGTCTTTATTTCAAACATGGATGGTCCGAATAATCTTTATAGAAATTTGGACAACCTAACAGTTCTAAACCGATTCTGCTAACATAATCAATGTAGCATTATACACGGACAGGCCTCCCACTTCTCAAATTCCATTCTACCCGCTTTGAATGTTCAATTTGGAATTTATCAACCAGATCAAGTCTGATGATGAATACACGAAAGCTTTTTTTTTCTCAATACATCAGTGTTTTGCATAACATCCTCTCGTGATCAAGGACTGCATTGTAATCTACCTCTAAAACAATGATTCCCAAAGTGGGGCGCATGCCCCACAGGTAGGGTATGGTAATATTTTGGTGAGGCATGCGTAGGATGTGCATCCTTCGGCTTACTATAAAAACGTGATCTCAAATTTCATTTTGTATTATTATCTCATGATTAAATGTATATTACATAATATCTTTCATTCGAATATTATATATTTTTGCCTTTCTTTTATATCTTTTGGTATATATATATATATATATATATATATATATATATATATATATATATATATATATATATATATATATACTGTCTGTGGATGACGTTATATTGGCTCCTGAAATATCAATTTCAGTTGAGCTCTCTGGGGACGATGTGTGGGTTGGTAAACAGTAACTATTATAGCTATATAGCGAGACTCTTCGCAGATGCGAATTGAGTCACTGTCGGTCACAGGGCGTGTTTCTAAAAATAAATACGCTAAAAAATTCACTGTCGTCCCTACCGTGCGCCGACGGCTTAATGTTTAGAATCTCCACCCGATACCAATTCAGTCGGGTTTCGATCCTAGCTAGAGGTAACCGGACGTCTGCGAAACCGTCTGTCTGTGGATGACGTTATATATATATATATATATTTAAGTTTCTTTTTGTTTTCTTAATTCTTCTCTTTCATGGACGCTATGGTCTTTGGAGACTTGTTTAGAAACAAAGTTAATGGCCTTTTAAGCTTCCTTTGCTTTTGAAATACAATTTTGAATATGTAAGAATTAAATATTACAGGGGCAACCAGGTTTTAGAAATACCAAAGTCGGGCGTGGCCTGAAATCGGTTGGGAACCACTGCTCTACAACTTCCTTTCTCGACGATATCACTAAGGGGTTGCGCTTTCCGTTCCCTATTGTCACTGGGACAATGAAACAAAACGCTTTCTCCTTTATTGCACCATCCAAAACGCACAATATGGCTGCTGGTTACTTGAAAACAACTCAACAGCTTTTGTTCAAAGAACTGACCAAAAATCATCCGTCGAACGACTATCAGAATATGCTCCGAAGAGGTGAAACCTCGCCGACCGTATGCCCTCATAGTTACATGCAATAAGGTGGGTCTCTTGTATACAGCATAGAGACACTTGAAAACTTGATTTCTCATATTTTGTCATCTGCTATCTCCGCCTCTTTCTCTCTCTCTCTCTTTCTCTCTCCCACTTTCTTTCTCTCTCTCTCTCTCTCTCTCTCTCTCTCTCACTGAGTTTATAGCTGAGCGATTCTGGCAATGATTTATTGCAGGGGTGGCCACACACGGCCTGAGGAAAATAGTCTGAGCTCTGTTATGGGGTCCACCTCTTTTCTATATAAGTGGACTCTACCGGTGTTACTTGGACTGCTGTCGTTAAATACCCAGAGTTACAGTCAGTGAGGAGTAGGATAGTGAGAGTGAGAGAATATACGAACGGAGATAGTGTGAGTTAACCTCTTGTAGAAGTCATTTACAAGCACGTAGACTCTAAGGAAGTCCTACTTTGAGACTGTATATATCTATCTGTATTTGCTACTAACCGCGACTTACTAACAGTATTACTCTTTGTATGATTTTGTAAATACATTTTATTTCTTATATTTAATTATTGCGTTTGTCATTCCTTGGAGACCGAATTCATCTCGGAATCCACAACAAGCTCCTTAAAAATAAAGAGTACGGCATGAAGGAATTGAGAACTCCAGTCTATTTAATCTTTTCCCAGATCCTGCTCAGTGCCTTTACAGACACAGATGAGAAGAGATGGGTACTGATCATTAAACATTCGATACCACAGTGCAAACAAATGCCCAAATACACGACAATGATCCTGCTTTCAATCCCGAGGCCAATGCATTGATAGGGCTGGTATGGTGAGCTCTTCTGATGACATAGGTATTCATAGATGGGATAAGAATGATCTTGAACAAAAAAATCAACATCTTCTACCAAGTGTTCCAAGAAATATGACTCAAGATAAACCTTTAAACAGAAAACATAATCTGGAACTGGAATAAAAGCAGTGATGGTGCGTGCACTTCAGATACCTCGGCGTATGGATGGGTTATAAATTTATAATAGGAGTTGAGAAAAATTGAACAGAGAATAGATTGCACTAGAGGTAGTTTTCCCCAACACCAGCAATTGCTACAAAACCAAAACATCAGACAGAAAACTTGAGACATATTCTTAAATAGCCTTGTCAGAGACTTTCATATGGATGCCATGCATGGCGATAGACCCGTTCAAAAATATCAAAACTCTCAGCTGTATAAAAAAACGCTTTCGAAGATCAGTGGTGAAGTAGGCTTTGGACGAGTGAAGCCTGTTGGTCTTAGCAAAGACCAAACTTATTTGGACATTGTAAACTGGTGGTACGAATCCACAAAGAAAGGTCTGTAACAAATATCAGAAACTGTGTCACTTAGGGACTAGCAGCAGCAGTAACAACTAAAATGCATAGCACATGTAATTCGAAGTGAAAATAATGACATAATCAAGATGTTGACATTCCACACTACTTCAAATAAAAGGTTAGGAAGGAAACTGGAATTGATACTGGAAAGAGTGATAACAGCTACTGGGATTGAGCAGAGAAAATAATGACATAATCAAGATGTTGACATTCCACACGACTTCAAATAAAAGGTTAGGAAGGAAACTCCCATCAATACTGGAAAGTGCAATAACAAATAATGAATTTGAAAAGCCTATTTTTTCCGGAAAATTGTTTTAAGCGAAAGATTTTACAAATTTCAACTGAAAAGTGGGCACTGGCTTCTCGGTCAGTGAATATCAAATGTTTCCTTGTAGGGAAACGGCTAATATCACCGTTACCATGAAAGTGAGGGGCCTTGAAATAAAAAACTGAGTCTAGTTAAAGTACATGTCCACAAATACGGTGCGATCCGATTGAGAATGGAACTCTTTGAAACAGACACATTTGAACATACCGAGGTGGTTTAATTTCCACTGCTCTGCTAAGGTTTTGGTAAAACTTATATGTTCAATACTACAAAGCTAACGTTAATGGAAGTCACTACTCAGAGAGGAAGACAGAGGAAAAACTTCCCGTCGGAATAGACGCTGAGTTTGAGTACCTGTTCCGTGTCGGAGGCCTTCTCTCTCTCTCTCTTTTTCTGCCCCGTTACATGGACAGAATCCTCACTCTTGTTCCGTAACATCAGTTCCATTGCGGTGTGGTATGACCTGCTGTGTCTAGCCTAGAGAATATCTGACCAACTTAGAGAATCTCTGACCAACTTAATATCTGACCAACTTAGACAAGCTATGACCAACTTAGACGATCTCTGACCAACTTAGACAATCTCTGAACAACTTAGACGATCTCTGACCAACATAGACAATCTCTGACCAACTTAGACAGGCTATGACCAACTTAGACGATCTCTGACCAACTTAGGCAAGCTCTGACCAGCTAAGACCAATTTAGACAAGTTATGACCAGCTTAGACCAGCGATCTGAGACGAAAAACTCAGGCCCCTACGTTAAAATAAACGACCTTCTGCCACAACCTGGCTCCGGTGGGGGTATGGGAGCGTGGTCAAGGTAAATCACGAAAGTTGCTACTCAATTGTAAGAGTCAAGTAAATTGGCTGGTTAATCATTTCCAAAAGCAAACGCGTCAATATTATTTTTTGATTTGTTGATTCTAATTTTTTGTTTTTTCAAACTTTAATTCCTGTCTCTTCGTATCCTGATAATAAAGTAGCTTGATATATTCATATTCATCGTTTAAAAAAAAATGATAATTAAACTTTGAATACTATCTGCGGAAATTAAAACACAAATTTTTAAACAGCAATTAGCGCTTCTGAAATTTTAAGAATTCTAATTGCAAGTAGAAAATTAAAATTATTTCCTCAAAGACTGCCTCCATGTTGTTTCAAGTCACATTTTTTTTTATGTTTTTGATCCCCTCCCACTCCCAGTTCTTTCTTTATCTTTCTGTATCAGATACCTTCTGAATATGGGAGATCATGACTCTCCACAGCTTCATACATTTTCTTGCTTTCTTTAATACTTAATCTTCACAACCCATTATTCTTTTATCCTTTTGTTCAAGCTTATCAAATGTGACCTGCTGATATCATCTGGTTCTCTTGTTTTCTATGCTTGCTCTGAATATTAAGTTATCTAAATATTTCTTCCTCATAATTTGTCCGCCCACACATCCAGCATTATCTTTTCCAATTTTATTAACAGTCTCTTTGTAGTTCCTCTTTTGTATAAAACTTAATTAATCCCAAGCTCTATGCTATTGTCGGCATTCTTAAGGCAAACAAAAACACTTCTCGGTTGCCTGTAATCTTTTCTTTGGTTAATGAATAGTGATTTTCTAAGCGTAACTTAGTTGTGGTACAAGGCCGAATTTTATGAGCCACCCAGTGAGGATTAAACTGACAAGCTTTCTAATGATTACAAAATGTCAAAGTGCTCAAATGATTTTCTAAGCTTAGGTTAGATGTTACTCAAGGCCGAAAGTGTAAAGCACCCAGCGAGAATCGAACTCAGTTATCAGTCATAATTGATCTAACAAGACAAGCTCGCTAACCATTGAAATAATTTTCTAAGCGTAGCTTATATGGTATACAATGCCTATGTATGGAGCAACCAATGAGAATCAAACTCACTACTCAGTCTTTGTTGATCTAACAAAACAAGCTCGCAAACTATTAAAATGATTTCTAAGCGTAGATTAGATGTAGCACAATGCCGAATGTATGGGGTACCCAGTGAGAATCGAACTCACTACTTAACTGTAATTGGTCTAACGAGACAACATTTTTTGATGAATGATTGGTTGCTAGATTGGTCGAATTCTCTGCATCTGGGCAGAGAGGATCCCCAAACGAGGCTATGTCGAAGGGCAGAGTCTCGTCTTGGGAAACACGACCCTATTTTATACGGTGTACGGGGAATTTTTAGACGAGCCTACCTTCTCGGATACCCCACATTAAATTTGGCCTCGTGCCACATCTGACCGCGTGGGGCGGTTGGTAAACATTCTGCAGTTGAAGATTTGCCACCAGCTGTGCTGGTCAAACTATCTGCTTCCGAACAGAGAGCATCCCCAAGCGAAGCTATGTCGAAGGGCAGAGTCTCGTCTCGGGAAAGAGCTACTCACCTCGTTTTATATATCTACGGGAATTTTTGACCGAGTTTACAGGCTCGGGTACCCCACATTAAATTCAGACTTGTGCCGCATCTGACCGCAAGGGACGGTTGGTAGATATCCTCCAGTTGGAGATTCGTTGTGGAATTCACTTGACTCGTAGCAGCTGACTACTTCTACGCGCCGCTGGCAAATCTTATATGTGTTATTCTTGTCCTAAGTATTATCGTTCATTGCCAACCTCCTCTAGGTTACAACATTTTGCAATGATATCATTCGATACGTTCAAGCATTACTCAAATTCTGAATGGCATCTTCCATCATTCCTATTGTTTCTTCGGATTTCTGAGTCTGTCTTTCTGTCGTCTCTTCTTATAATCACTACAACGTTTAATTCCTGCACATGCTTGATTTCGAAGTCGCAGGATTTTTAAACTTACATCGTGAAATTTTTCTTTATTCTATTTCGAAAATATTTTCATTCCTTTGAGGTCATTTTGTAGAATGATATTTTCATCGCCAATACAAAACCTTATATTCTTCTGTAAACAATTCAGTTAATTATGTGCCATTCGTGATACACAGTTAAGGCGATCATGTATCTTTCGACGAGGCAAATTTCTTTATGCCGTAGAGCAGTTGCCATCAAGGCTATAGAACCCGGTCTGTCCTGCTATTTCCCCATAGCTCGTGGGAGAAGAGGATTCATACCTTTCCCAAGGATATTAGCATGTAATTGAATTTCAGTCAGTTATGTGCCATGCGTGATACACGCTTAGGCGATCATGTATCTATCGATACATGTCTGACGTAGCAGATTTTTCTCCTCGGTAGGTTACCTTTTTCTTTCTGCGGTAGACCAGTTGCTATCCAACGCTGTAGAATTCGATCTGTCCTGCTATTTACACATAGCTGGGTCGAGAAGAAGAGAATTCATACCTTTCCCAAGGTTATTAGTACGTAAGTGAATGTAATGCAATCGACTGGAATTCGAACTCGGCTCTCCGCTAAATATTACTCCAGAGTGCAGATCTGGATTTAAGGCGTTACCTCTTTTCTTCTACTCTAACTCTGTTGGTTTTTATATAATCGTTT